AAATGCAATTACTTCATCTACACTCCTTCCCTTCAAAATTGTATCTGACTTGCTCAACTTAGCAAATTCTTCAGAAACAGTCCTCTCCGCAGCTTCTGAAATGTATTGTTTCAGTTCGGGATTATAATACCCTTGGTTTAGTCATCAAATGTTTTCCTAACTACAACATTTGTAGCATTTGGATAAACAATTAGAACTTTCAGTTGAGTGTTTTTCTTGCTACTAATTGTTTCAATGTTGCATAGGTTATAAATAAAATCATCGTTTTCTGAAGTTGTTTCAGTCTGGTCTATCGGTGTCGTTTCATTGACAATACTATAAATGCTGCAGCCTGAGAATAGAGTCTTGCAGCATGTGCTGTAACGACTATCTACTTCTTTTACATTGTTTTTGTTATCTTCTTGATGAAATTTCTTTGCTGAATTTCTGTCTGGAGTTACAGTGCTCAGTAGCTGTGTTTTGACTCTTTCAGCTTCACTTTCAGCGTTGTCAGCATGTGCAGCGGTGGTGATGTCTTTTTGCGCTTGTGTAGAAGAAACTGCCTCCTTTATTAAGTTATATGACTCAGTAGCGTTTCTGATTTTTCCTCCACATGGTCTGCACACTCTTTCAGACAAACTTTCACTGCATGCTAGCTTAAATCCAACAGACTTGCATGCGTATGCAAAAATCAAATTTAGACTTTCTTGCCTACGCAATAAACATTATTTGTATATTGACTGATTTGTATATAAAAAACATTATTTGTATATTAAAACTGACAGTGCCAGATGATTTATAGTAGTTTCGTACTCTTGTCTTCACTGTCAATCGCCTGGTTGTGTGAATACACTTTCACACAACCAGGCGACTGATAGCGAATTCATATTCAAATTCATATGGAAACTTGTTGATCTTCTCACCCCTACTACGTCTACAATGAGGTCCAAATATTATGTGGCTGGTACTGGCAACCTCTGGGATTTGTGGTGAGTCAGGTGTTTCTGGTGGATCTTTCTGTTCATCATTATAAAATTTTAATAACAAAAACCTGCACATTTTCCTATTTTATATGACAACTGTGCAATAGCAAAGTGTTTGAACATTACTCGTCTTTGTAGATAGTGAAGACACCTAGGAGCGAAATGACTTGCAAAGCATTCATTGAACAATAAAAAAAATTCACCAAAGAATTCACAAAATAATTGCAATTAAATTATAATTGGTGGCCATGTTGAAACCTCATTAGAGAGCTTAGGCAAGCGGTATTTTTGACAACACAAACATCACATCAGCCGTAAAAAGACTGGATCGAGTACGGCGTTTTTATTGCTAATCTATTCATTAAGCAGTATCATAAATAAACAAAAACCTCATCAAAAACGCATCACACAAGCCATGTAGTTACGTTATGAAGCTTTTTGTTCGTTTTTCATCATAATGACTTCGTTAAAACAAACTCAGGACTTGCTACTATTTAGTTTACACAAGAAACAAATCACAGCCGAGCAGCTTCTCGTCCTGTTAAAAAAACACTTCGCGTAATCCTAAGTTTAACTACTGTCAATACGAAAGGTTTGATCTCGCAACGATTCCTGAACCAGAATGTCGATCAGACCACAAATGAACACATTAAATTTCAGTCAGTTACCTTGCCTAATGGCATAATGGCATATGTTTGGTCCAATTGGTATTTATATCATTATTTTTTATATTTTACATCCAATTATTGCATGAGTATAATAATAGTTTGAAGGCATCTCTGACTCTGACAAGAAGGGAATCCTATGAAACATTTATTTTGATTTTTTATAACAGAGGGCAGAAGACATGCATTCAGAAATGTGTTATGATGACCCCAGCCATGCAAGAGTTCAACAGGTCAATGAGTGCTGTCTGTGTGTCAGTGGAGTGGGCAATTGGTGAGGCTATAAGATCTTTCAGATGTCTTGACTGTAAAAGTAATTTAAAGCTTGGTCTAAGCTGTGTTGGCAAGATGTACTTGGTTTCTGCTGTTATTCAATATGCCTTGTCATGTTTTATAGAAACCAAACCTCAACATTTTTTGACTTAGACACACCATCAATTGAAGAATACTTTTCTTGATTCTAATTTTGCAAATATTGAATGAAATTGTTCATTACAAATAATCAACATGTGAAATATATAGACTACAACGTGATCACAACATTAACTTGACATTTTATGATGTGTTTCACTTTCAATTAAGATAAATTGTGAGTTTTTGAACATAAGCCAATGATCTGCAAAGTTGCTAAAGTGTAAGTTGATGTTGTGACCATAAGAACTGCTGCCTAAAAGCATTAATTTGTTAAAAAAAAATGCGATTTTTATGCGATTTTTACACCACTGAAAGTGCACATATGTCCGAGTATTATAGTGAAAGAATTTTTCGATTTCATAAAAAGGAACAATTTTTAGAGCTGTTTTAATGCCTCAAAATTAAGGTCTTTGATGGTACCAGTCTGTGGTAATAAGGGAACTGTAACAAGGGTCATATTTGATGTCACGCAAGTGAGTGGGCTCTGAGTGCTCTGAAAGGGTTTTATATTCCACATAGGCATGCCGACTTGTTTACTTTTTTAGGCGTTTTATACAAATATCTTACTAATCTTAGGAATTATGTCCATGCGTAAATAACATGAGAGTGAAGAAATTTTTAACGCTATGTTTTGTTACACCGCATTTATATAAGAACACATTAACTGAAAATTAGTCTTTTGTCACTTTTTGTCTTGTAATGATTACTGGCCTATTGAATAAAAGTCATCCTTGAAAATATGCCTTTCTACTGTATTGCTGCTAATTGCACCAACAAAGCAAGCTTAAAAGATGGAATAAGTCCGCACAATATTCCATACTACGGTGATGATTGCCCAGAAGCGAAGAGACGACGCAAAGTATGGGTAGATTATATAAGCGCAAAGCATTTGTTCACACTGTCGCGAATGTCGACTATATGTTCTGAACATTTTACTGCTGACAATTATGAAAGGCGATTCTTCTCATTACCTGGTCTCAGCAAGCCTAATCATCCCAAACTTAAAACTGACGAAATAGGTGTTTGTGTATTTCCCACCATTCATGCTTCATCAGCGAAGGAAATGGCAGGTTATCTCGCCCAGAGGGAAGGAACACAAAGTAAGCAATTGGTAAGTATTGCACAGTAAACTTGTAAACATAATGGTATCAAATGACTAATCTATTACTATTTACAAGATTATAAGAAATTCACTTGAAAAAGGCTTGCCAGATGATGAATTTGATGAACCAAGGAGAAAAAAGCGCCAACAGGCACTGACTCCGTCAGAACATCATCCAACCCAAATACCAGTGAGGAGATACTCACACCTGTTGAAGCACAGTTAATAGAAATAGGATGGTTTGGATAGTGGGCGGAGCTATATTATATGTTATTGTTCTCTCTTTTGGGGGGTCACGTGACAAATAGTGTGCATCAAATTACAATTACATACTTGTGGTCTAGAAAGTTCGCGTCGAAATATTGCTCTTTGTAAAGCACTTCTAAGTTTTTTTTACGTTCTCTAACTGGGAATGCATGGTTTAAACCATGCCTGGGCGAAATTGTGCGTTTTTTGGATGTCCGACAAGCCAAAAGCATAAAATTTCGCTTTTTCAAATACCGAGCGTGAGCGCAAAACAAAGTGAACACACTGCGTCTATCAAGAAGAAAACCCGAGAAGAATGGCTCAAAATCATCTTGAGAACAAGGGAAATGACTCCAGAGCTGAAAACGTGGATCGACAGGAACAATATATACGTTTGTGAGCGCCATTTTAAAGCTGAATGCATTCAATCAGGTAAAATAATTTGCATATCAGTGATTATGCGCGCCTTTGATATTTCGTTATACTGCTTTAATGTAACAATGTTTCATATAGTTTATAGTATGGCTTCTTTTGAAAAATTCACGTTTTCAAGTTAGCATACGTTGTACATTATTTGCCAAAGCTTTATTGTTTGAATCTCAAAAGTGATCAAAGTATTGATTCGACTTTAGTTTCAGACTTTCAGAACACATTTATTATATGTGTAAACAGCCGATGCCTTTGTTATCGTCTACGTTACTGTTGAAATATGTGAATTTTCTGATATTGTAGACTCTGATAAGCCTAATTCAAGGAAGACCCTACTTGCTGGTAGCATTCCTACTGAAAATTTGCCCTTGAGACCACATGAGGTAAAGAAGACACCACGTCGGGTCGTCGTTAGAAAGGAAATCGAGCATTCAAAGCCAGAAGATATGCCATCTACATCTACTGTTATCTTTGGGCCAGGGTTATGTTCGATCACAGGTTTTACTGACCTTGTCAGTGAGCCTGATACCACTGTATTGTTGCCATGGCTGATAGAAATTGCTCAGGATGAGAATATTAAATGTTGCCTTAGTGATCAGGTTCATGCAGTTCCAACCTATACTGTAATTATAGACTTGAGTTTGGAGTTTACAACCTATGTTTATAATTGGCCAATACCCAATGACCACAAGATCTACAATATCCATAAACGCTCCATTAGGAGTGTTGAAGATATTCAGGATATTTTGACTAAAATAGAAACAAGCAAGATTTGTGAAGGTGTGTCTGAGGACTGTGAGTCAAGGTCTGCTGCTATTGATCCAAATGCAGACATCACAGCATTTGGTTCTGGAACAGTTGTCCGTCACTCTGTCCCGAAGATGCCAAACCCAAAGCAATTTGAGGCAACAGTTTTCTTAAGGAGTAAAGACTGCTCTGATCCTTGCTCTAAAGCAAGTAAACGGTTAAAGAAGGCAACAAAAAAGAGAACCAAAGCATCCCCAGCCAAGAATAAGGCATCCCTAGCTGCTTGTGGACCAGAAAAGTTACGTGCGACTGTCCAGGCAACAAGACTTGAGTGCAAAATGCTCAGAGAGCAGCTGCAGGAAATGCAGGAACACATTCAAGAACAATGACATCCATAAAATAATAGGTGGGCAAAACCTGAATGCTACTCCCCACATGAAGTTTTTCTGGGAAGAACAAATGAAACTTCTCCAGTCTTCCAGCTCTGGTAGAAGATATCATCCACAAATCATTCGGTTTGCCCTATCTCTACATGGAAAGTCACCATCCGCCTATAGAGAGCTCCGGGAAAGTGGTGCTTTGGTGTTACCTAGTGAAAGGATACTACGTGACTATAAGAACTATTTTCCCCCAAAGGCAGGAATAAATAAAGAGAATGTTGATGCTTTGCGAAAAAAAGCTGCTTCGTTTACTGGAAATCAACGTTATGTCACGCTTGTCATGGATGAAATGAAAATCCAATCGGAACTTGTGTTTGATAAGAACACTGGTGACTTAGTTAGGTTTATGGATCTAGGTGACCCCATGACAAATTTTGCTTGCCTTGATGAAAAAGATACCATCGCCACCCATGCTTTGGCATTTCTTGTTAGAGGTTTGTGCACTGATGTAAAACACATCATTGCATATTTCTTTACAGGAAATGTCACTTCATACCAGTTGATGCCAATTTTTTGGAAAGTGGTTTCCACCTTGGAACTGTCTTTGGATCTTTGGGTGGTTGCTCTGGTCAATGATGGTGCCTCGCCTAACAGAAAGTTATTCAATCTGCATGTTAAGTTGTCTGTTGATCAATGTGATGTGGTACATAAGACAATCAATCTCTTTGCACCATCGCGCTTCATATACTTCTTCGCAGATGTACCACATTTAATGAAGACCGCGAGGAACTGTCTATACAACTCTGGCTCAGGTTCACGCAGTCGTCTGATGTGGAATGATGGCCAATATCTGTTGTTTAAACACATAGCAGATATTTTTTACCAGGATCAAGCTGTTGCCTTGCATGTGCTTCCAAAATTAACCTTGGAGCACATTGTTCTGACATCTTTTAGCAAGATGAAGGTGAAACTGGCAACTCAACTACTTAGTCGGTCAGTTGCCCAAGCATTAGAGGAAAGTGAAAACAGTGAGGTTTTGGGGACTGCCGAATTCTGTAGAATGATGAACGACTTTTTCGATTGCACCAATGTGAGATCACTTCACGAGCATGAGAGAAAGCCAAATGATCTGGTCAAACCATACACTGCCGTTGATGACCACCGGTTTGGATGGTTACGTGATGTCTTTTTAAAGTACCTGGAGAATTGGAAGAAGTCCACTCTTGAAAGGGTCGGTCATTATTCACCAGATGATAGAGGAAGAATGTTTCTTTCATCTCAAACCTATGAAGGTCTTCAAATTGCAGTTCATTCCCATATTGAGGCTATCCAGTTTCTACTTCAGCAAGGGTTTAGGTACGTCCTGAGTGAAAGATTCATGCAGGATGTGCTGGAAGATTACTTTGGCCATCAGCGTGCTAAAGGTGGTAGAGCTGACAACCCAAGTGCATATGAATTCGGGTACAATGATTTGACAATCGCGGCACAACGAGACATTGCCCCAGTTGTAAGAGGAAATGTGGGTGGTCGATATGGAACAACAAAATGGCACACTGTGAGTGATGAGCCAGTAGAAAAGAGAAAGAAAAAGAAATAAATGCTATGATCATGGTAGTAAAGTATGGTTAAAGTATGTTAAAAATGACAGTACAATAGAGCGATATTCTAATTTGCACATATAATATTTGAAGTCATTTAAGGTGTAAAGCTCTTTAGAAACTCAGTCCCAAGGTACTTTTGAGGAAGCACCCTGGTCACAAAGGAGATACTAGATCTTCTCTGTGCCCTGGTGGTAAATAATGTGACTGCCCTTCTTTTAGAAAGTAAAATATTTTGTTAGAAGGAAGACATGCGTATGTTATATAATACGTATGTTTGCATTGAAAATACCTGAATGATAACTGTGTTTTTTTCATACCTATTACCAAGTTACTTCACTGGCCAAAATTTTGGCAGTCACATTATCACAAATTACCAAAGTACTTCCTCAAAAGTATTTGGATAGAGTTTGAGCTCTTTACCGTGATGAGCTAGATAAAATATGGGGAAGCATTGCACCATAATATGTAAACATGCAAATCAGTATCTATTTTTGTACACATTTTTTTAGATGATGTGTACTTCTTTGAATCTTTGTTAATTTACAAGTATGGATGTCAAGCTCATTGTACTGCTAGATATAGCCCACCAGACTTATTTTTTGCTAAGCAAGTCAGTGTAGTAGTACTTGGAATATTTCATACTAGTTTTATTATATGTTATGATATGATTATTTTTTAGAAATAAATTAAATAAATTGTGTTCTTTCATTAACTAGACTCTTACAAATTAGTATTTGGGCTGGGAGACTTGTTTCCATGAACTGTGAGTCAATCACATTTTATCTTTATTCATAAAAGCAAAGTTTTGGGCAAAAAAGATAATGTATACACTGTAAGATTATATATTAGACTATAAATTTCAGAACTGTATATACTTAGCTAGAGATACTGTAAGGTTTGTTTATTAATGTAACTGACAGCAAGTTGATAAAAATGAATACTTTGATAATGACAACTAAATGTATTTGTACTGTATGATTGTCAAGCCATGCTGTACCTGTATGTACTAACCAATGTTTTTCCCCTGGCCTGATCACCTTAATTCCTACAGTGGTGCAATCTTGTGGAGGTGATACGCAAAAATAGATGAAAGAAATGAGCATCAAATCACAGTGTGTTCAAATGATGTTATCATTTACAATTTCAAAATAGTTAATATCTGAAGTACTGCTGGGGCTGGTGGTATAAAACTTTTAACTACATTTTGGACAGTTAAATTGTAGTTAACTCCAAAATACACCAATTTGATTGGTCAATCCTGTTAACTAAATGTAGTTAGAAGTTAATTACCTTATTATTCAACCAGCCCCAGATTGTATAAATCCCCAGGTTAGGAGGGGAGAAACACTGTGACTGATTGTTCCAATGATAAAATAATTCTGCCTAAGGTGTAGTATGAAACCTACAGCTGCCCAATAAGTGGTTGATAATTCATGCAGCACAGGCAAGGCAAAACTGATTACGTGGCAAGCCCCAGCAACACTTTGCACTGCATGAATACATTTACAAACTGTTTGTTGGCAGCCTATGAAAAACCTAGTTGAATGATGAAGACATACATAAAGTATACCAGTTTGCATGAGATTAAAAACTAAATATTTAATATTTTTGTAAAACATATATTTCCCATATTTCCTAAAACAACACACACTTTTTTTTAAAAACATTAAATCTTACACTTTACAGTTTGCATCATCAAATATAGTTCTTAGTTCAAATGGGTACTTTTGAGTCCCTTTTCAAATCTTTTCTTAATGCCTTCTTTTTGCCTTGTTTTTCTCTTATCTTATATTGTGTGACATAGTCCTTAGTATATGAGAATGATCTCACCTTCAAGAACATTTTCACAATGTTTTCAAGACATAAATTATTTACATCACAGGTTGGATTTACACCAGAAGTCAACACAATATTGTCCCACAGTGACTTGACAATGGGCAAACGAATAGTTGAAAAGCAGATTTCATCCACAGGAATGTTTCGAATTACATCAGTCTTGTTAACTTCCTTCCGAAAACAAATCTCTGCCTCGTGTAAAATCCTGACAATATCCTCGCAAGGGGTAACAAGACCACCCCTGGACCTGCCTGATATAAATTCGTTGCTAGCTTCCTCTTTCGAAACTATCAAGCTTTGTAACAAAGCTTGAATCTCGGGATTTTCTCTCCCTGACTTTGGTTTACTAGCTTTATTTAATTTCGACACAACATAGCCTACTATGTACGAAAGAGGACCATGTTCGCAAGGCTGAATTTCGTAGTCGACAAATTCCAATGTTTTTTCTCCCACTAGACCAACGTTACAAACCCAACTAAATGATCTGGAATGTGAATCATAACTAGGTTAGCAACTCGTGAATCTTTGCAATTTAAAAGTGTTGACGAATTTAGCATCAATCCATAAAACGACTCCAGCAGTTTGTCTTGGTTCCTATTTCGGCAAAATTTCGTGTAAAGAGGCAACACTTCCTTAAATAATGCGTCGGTCGCTGAAATGTCCTTTACAACGCTGTCGATTATATCTCCGTAAAGATTTTCTGCTATAATATTTGTTTTAATGGTTTCTACAATCGACTTTATTGCGTCAAAACAAAGAGGTATCATGTTCGGATGAGATGAAACTTTGTCAGGCTCGCCATGTTTCGAGTTGATGTGCTTCGTCAGACCACCCTTTGATTTACATATTTTGCTACATTTCACACAAGGAAATTCTTTTGCGCCTTCAATTTCAACCATTGAATCGACAAATTCATTTTCGACTTCATCGTAGTCGGTTTCAACGATGTCAACAGCAATATCTATGTTGTATTCATGGATTCCTTCACTATACTCGAAAGAGCTTTCACTCCTTTTCGAAACCGGTATAACAATATCACGTTTTTCGCCCAACGTTTCCCCGGAATCTTCGCTCAAAATATTTCTTACAGCGTGTTCTTCGTTCCTTTGCTCCTCGAAATCCATAGCAAAAGCTTATATCAGATTTAAGGGATTAAATATGTATCAAATTTCGGAAAGCCTTATCAACTCACTATTATTTACCCCGAGGCGATGCACACTAAAAGTCACGTGATTTTTTTTTCCTTTGATGCGCGACATATTTGCCGCCCCTCTTTGAAGTTTGCCGGCTTTCCAAACCATCCTATTTCTATTAACTGTGGTTGAAGAAACAACACAGTGTGAGGAAATCGTAAGTATTATGGTAATTGGGGTGTGCACAATTGCATTCAACAAATCAGTCAGGCATAATTGAGATATACCCCCAATTCATCAAATTTTCTAACAATTGATCGTATTTTTTTATCATAAATAGTTTCTCGATACCAATATCATGGAACAAGCTATGGCTTTGGAAATTAGTGGTGAACCTAATGACAATGCAAGCTTGATTGAAGCAAACAGACGGCTGAAAAACAAAGTTATATCACTTGAAGGCAGCAAGAAAAAGAAGAGAATAAAAATAAAAAGTTGGATAAATTGGATAAAATTGGATAAAAAGAACCGAGTATGGCTCACAGGCATCTTTTGAGCTCCGAAGGACACTAAAAGGCAAACTATTTAATGCTGTATTTGAAAACTCACCATATTATAAATTAATACGCATCCCACCGCTATATTATTGGTCTTCAGAAATACATTGTTGATTAAATGTCGTAACCACGGCTCAAAAACGAAACCAATGTCCATGTTTTTGGAATAACAATTGAAGCCATAGAATGTGAATAGACAATAAAACAATATAGACCAGCAACCGTATATGCACTGACTTGTATGTTGAAGAAACAATATTGTCATATCCAATCCACTTGGATCATCACCCTCGATTGTTTTAAGATGTTCATTGTATGCCTTAAAAAACACCGAAAATCTATATAAATTGTAATTCTATACAAATTATAAAAACTGTTGATTTCTAATAATATATCAAACTTTACAATCCCTTTTTCATTCTCTACCTGATCTCAGTATATTATTGTAACGTTGGACCGTAAAACTGGGTGTGTCATCCGTGTCCCAGGGACTGTTAGCAATAAGCTAAACTCAATCCAAACTTCAACTGAGTATTTCAGGCTTGCACCATCGTCGTGATAGAAATCAGTCCAACACCAGTAAAGCTTTGGAATATATATTTCTTGTCTTCTATTTACAATCCTCTATATTTCTATCTTCTATATATCTTATATATGTGTGCAAGTGTTTATATAGTGCTTGCATAAGTTAATTATGACGTATTTGGCACGCAAACTATGGTAATACAATCCGCTATAACCAGATAACTGGAGTTACATGATTACCATAGAAGGCAATCTGCAAGCCCAAGTTAGCGCTGTGTTAGCACTGTTCAAGCGCGGTTTCAGCGCTGCGTCACTTTTACTTGAGCTTATATATAGCTCCTTGTAGCTGCGTTCTAGCGCTGCTAGAATTATGTCATCCGCTATGTCACATAATTCACCATATTATGCAAATGTTATAATATGTAATCTACGCTACATTATGATTGGACCGCAGTAGGTCTGATTAGCAAAAATGATACCCAGTGAGACCGTATATTAAAACTTTCAATTATTCATCAATATTTTTTCTTGCAACTATACTTGCAACAAATGCTACATAATATAGATAAGCTTTATTACCTTTACTGAGACGATAGCAATGCCTATGGGTTTATTGCATTGATTTTTCCTACGAAATTGGCATACTCCTGCAATATGTAATTACCATCATTAAAAATAGCATCTTCTTGTCTAAAACATCCTCAGCCAATCAATTTCTCACCCTCGAACTAGGAGTGAGATTGAAATGGTCTTCTTTCGGCCATTCATGAATGGGAATGGAATAACTCATCTGATCCCATGAATACGCTTCTTTCCAATGACACCAAAGATGTTCTTTCCATTCTTTGTAAATGTTCTTTTGCCATTACTTGAACTTTTCTCAATATTATTTCACAATTTTTTAAAGTTGTGCTACAGGGATAAACAATAATTTTAATTAATTAA